CTACCCCCTGGGGGCACGGGAGGCCGGGAAACAGAGCCTGCCGCCTGCCCGGAGGGCGTGGGCACGAGATGAGGCGCGACGCCTGGGTGCCTTGATCCCGCCCTCCTCGAATGGGGATGCGCAGGACAGGGGTTAGACATCTTACTCTGAGGTCGAGTGACACGGGATCCAGGAGGCCAGAAGAGGCCACTTTATGGGAAGAGCTGCACAGAACCGGGGCCCTACCTGCCCCAGCCCCCCTCAGCCCACCTCTCGTTGGTGGTCTTCTTCCTGTCTTACGCCCGCCTTTGAGGCTGGTTGAGATGAGCCAGACATGTCCTGCTTCCCCCACCTGCTTGCGCTACTCCTCCAACGCGCGGAAGTCAGAAAGTCCAACCTGTGCTCCCAGCCCAGATGGGAGCTTGGGGGATCAGGGACCCCTGAGCCTTGCTTGGTAGTGCTTAAAAGCATCTAAACTACACTGAGTGCTGAGCACATGTGGGGCTCCTGTAGATTCCACAGGGCCCCTCACAGACTGCCAGGTGGGACGTGGAGGGTTGGAGGGTCTGACCTGGCCTAACTTGGGAGCACCTTCCTTTTCAGTATCTCTTGAACACACTTCTCAGTGCTGACCCATGTTCCCAACACACACACACACACACACACACACTCTCTCTGCCTGCAAGTCTTGCCTTTAGTTCTGTGCCTGCTCCCTGGGACCCAAAGCCTGGGCTCTTAGCCCATCAAGGTCCAGGGAACAAGATGGTGCACATGAGTAAGGGGGGGCGGGGGAGGGGATGCCCAGGGTGCAAAGCAAGCCCACAGATCTGAGCACAGTGGGAAGAACCGAGTGCCAAACGGAAGCCTGCACAAGATGGGTCTGACTGGGGGGGGGCAAGAAGAGGTGAGTGGGGAGGGTCAGGGGAAGGGGTCAGGGATGGAGGCCCAGGGCTCCAGCGAAGGGGGCTGGTCCTGAGAGCAGAAACCCTTGCACAGGTCCCAGAGTGTCTCCTGTGCCAGGAGTGTGAAGACCCGGGCCCAAAGACCCCTCTCCTCAGCCTCACTAGCCGCGTGGAGCCGGTAGATGCAGGACAAGCCTGTGAGGAGCAGGTGCTCAAAGTCCCAAGTGCTAAGAGGAGGCCCTTTCCGCAGGTCTTGGAGCTGCTGCAGCTGCTGCTCAGCACCCTTCAGGTCCCTGGGCACGTGGTGCTGCAGGAGGAGCCTGAGTCGGCGGCCTGGGTGTGTGGACGCTAGCTCCTCGTCCTGGATGTGCAGCTGCCCCATGACATCCAGCTCCAGCCCAGCCCAGAGCAGCTGCAAGAGGAGTCATGTGAGGGGTGGGCTGTGGCCTGGGCAGCAGGGCAGGGAGCAAGAGTGGGCCAGGGGGCAGAAGCAAGCAGTAGGACCCATGCTGGGTTGCCCCTAGCCCCAGCAGGCCCACCCTGAGACATCCCCCTTCCCGACCCTGAGCTTAGGAACCTTTGAACATGCCCACCCCGTGTCCCAAGCTGGGAGGAAAGACCTCGAACATCACTTCCGGGGCCTCTGGCTCCTGCAGGCTACCTCCCACGCTGGCGCTGTCCAAGGGCTGCCCTGGGGCAGCAGAAAGGAGTCAGGCCCCTGCCTTGCTCCATCCACCCTCACACCCCCGCCTCCCAGAGGTGCCTGGCAGCGGCCTGGCAGGGTGCCTAGTGGCTCCCTGTCTACCAGAGGGCAGGAGTACCATCCCATGCCCTCTCTCCCTCCCCGTGCACACTGACATTCACCCTCCCAGGCATAGATCTTGTGATCCTAAGAGTGTCATCCAAGCCCAACTGCCATCTCGGCAAATGCCCAGGTCGCCTCCTTTGACTTGCACAATGCGCTGGGTAAAGAGCTCCCAGGCAACAGGTCACAAGACCCTTCCCCTCCCACTTCCCTCTCTAATCATCGGGACAGCTCCACCTAAAACAGTGCCAGGGACCTTCCCCAGTAAACAAGGACCTCCTTGGGAAGTCTGTTCTTTCTCTGATCCTCGGTTTGGCAGTAGATCTTGTGCAAGGCAGAGAGGGTGGGTGGATTTCTGGGGCAGCTTCCTCTACCCCACACCCTGGGATGTTGCCTAGCTGTTGCTGTGACTGTCTCAAGGCCAAGCAGGTCAGGAGACCCTGCTCTGGGCATCAGCTGAATAAGGTCAGGGCCCACCTCTGCCCAGTGCTAGCATTAAGAGCACCCAGGGCTATCTTCCTAGGTCTTAACAGTTCTGGGGGTAGGACTCATTCCACTACCCACCACCGCACACATCAGCCTGTACCCACCATGCCCAGATCCTGTGCCCAGCCAGGCTCAGATAGAGCTGACCATAGCTGCTATCATCCATCATCCAGCAACCTTCCTTGCCTTCTGTCTACCAACCCCTAAGTCCCAGTACCTGCATGATGCTGGGTTGCTGGGTTGCTGAGACAAAGGACTCCCACCAGGCAAGCCAGGACCTGCAGTGTCGCAGCCATGCTTCACGTCCTGCCTCTCCTCAGCAGCTCTGTTCCCTCATTGAACTGCCACACACTTTGACTCCAACTTTCCACTGCAGGCTGTTCTGGCGTTCTGTGATGCGTGCCAGTCTTCAATGCAGAACTGGGAGGGGCTGGCTGTGGCTTTGGTCACCTCCCAGGGGCTGTTTCCATTCCTCAGAAAATGGGGAATCTTTGGTTGTTGGCAGGAACCTGGCTCCCTGCTTGTCAGGCCCTCAGCCTGTTCCTACCCAGATGGGCGGGATGCTTAGGTAATAGGAAAGAGGTGTTTGGTAGCAAACAGATCTGGCTTGGCCCTCTCAAAGGGTAGGAAAGAGCCCAGGAGTAACACTGTCTTACTGTCTGTCCTCCCCCTCAAAACATCCTGCAACTGAGGCCAGCCCTGACACCCAGCCCAGCCTCGGGGGAGCACCTCAGCCGCCAAGAGCATCAGCTGTAAAGAATGTCTTCCAACTACACAGTGGACTGGTGGGGCGGCTCTACGGATGTAGAGCCAAGCACTCCCATCTCAGGCTCTCAGCCACAGGGACAGACCAGCTGGGGTAGGAATACTGTCCCCTGGCAGGTGAATCTGGAGCTCCTCGTGGTTTTGCCCCAGCCCTAGGACCTCTTGTTTGGTAATAACATTGTTAGCCAGGCCAAAACTGGGAGGATTCCTGTGACCTGAGTGATGGCTGTTGGGCTTAGGGAGCAGACCAGAGGGTTCAAGACTTGAAAATGACTTGTGGTTCTTTCTCACTCTGACCTTTGGCTCGCAGAGCCCTGGGGATGTTTGGGTGAGATGACAGTGGATTGGGGATCCCTTGGTTCCACCCAGGCCCCTGGTTCCATCAGGCTGCCATCAGTCTGCTTTGACGAGGGGCTTTCTCCATGCCACACCCACCCTGAGCCCTGTGGACTATGAGAACTTTAAATTACAGCTCCAGAACCCCTCTCAGAAGGGTTGCAGGTCACCATGACTGCAACTGCACTATTTAGTGCCATTAAAACAGCTTCCGTGGTTTGGAGGGGCCTCTCAGGGAGCAAGGACACCTCTGCCAACTCACATCTCGCCTCTCCTGAGTCAAAGCGTTGCTTCCACCCATTATAAGCACACAGGAAGTAGCAAGTCGAGGGAAGAGTTTATTTACATGGACACTCAGTTACAGATAAGGCGCTTTCTAGGATCCACATGCCTTCCCTGGAACTACTTTGCTTCAGGCTTCTCGTCTCTAGCTTCAAGCTTAAGATTCTCAGGGGGCTGGCGGTAGGCTGGGAAGGCCTCCCAGGGGCTGTTCAGGTCAAATTTGCGGAACTCCTGGGCCAACTCCACCGGCTCGGCCACCACCCGCTTCACCTCATCGTCATAGCGTAACTGCAGGAATAAAAGACAGGTGTGAGCACAGAGGGCCTAGTGACAGCCACTGTAGAACCTGCTTTCACAAGGCCACAAGTGACTTCCTCAGCCCTTGTTCCTCTCTGTCCTTGACTCCTGTCCCAGCCTGTCAGTAAGTCTCTAGCCAGCAGGTCACATCCCAACCAGCAAGTGTATGGGATTCCAAAATGGCCTCTACTTATGCCCAGCCAGCTCTGGTCAGGATCCTCCGCCCACCTCTATGCACCATGAGCTTAGAGCCCCTTTCCAGCAGAACTGACTCTGTTCACTCAGCCACACTCATACAAGGTCATGACAAGCATCTGCCCAGGGTTAGGGAGCACTCGGTGGTTGAACAGTAAACCTAAACTGGCAGACACAGCTTGAGGCCCTAAGCCCTTGGCATTGTCACCGTCAAGATCTAAAGTGAAAGCCAGGCTCGATGGCTCAGCCTGTAATCCCAGCACTTTGGGAGGGTGAGGTGAGTGGATTGCCCTAGCCCACAGGTTCGAGACCCGCCTGGGCAACTTGGCGAGACCTCATCTCTACAATAAATCAAAAAAT